GAGAAATGGCCATTAAATGATGAAAGCAGCAACTTATGAAGGATTCTAAAAATGCATAAAGGTTTCATTATCTTCATCAGTGGCAAGTATATCCAAATGGATGAAACTGATGATCCTTGATGTGTTGATTTCGCACAATACACACACACACACACACACACACACACACACATCATATCACATATGTATTAAATCACTTATATGCATTAAAATGTAACATTATTGAAATGGCAACCATGATAACATCAGCACAGTTTTAATGGGCTGGCCATATTTCATGGATGTTCAAACTGGTATACAAAAGTCAATTCTGTAATTCTATTGTTTATTCCATTAAATTTTCTCTTTTACAAGACACATATCCTGATAAAGGTAAATTTAAAAGTAAGTAACATATATGTTTTTCTTTGGAGTCATTAACCAAATTGCATCTCATGTAGAGTATATCTTCTCACAGGGAAGTGAAGAAACCAAGAATGTTAACCGGAAGGTCCATGTTTTAGTGGAACATAGCTGGCTCTCATGTTCCAGAACTGAATCATCCAAAGATCCATTTACATAAAATCAATAGTTCAGTGCCTCATAAAATTCAAAAACTTTAGTGAGAGGGCTGGGGAACCTGTGGCCTCAAGGCCACATGTGGCCCTCTAAGTCCTCAAGTGCAGCCCTTTAACTGAATCTAAACTTCAGAGAGCAAATCCCCTTAATAAAAACATGTGTTCTGTAAAACTTGGACTCAGTCAGAAGGCCACACCCAAGGACCTAGGAGACCAAATGTGCCCTTGAGGCCGCAGGTTCCCCATCCCTACTCTAGTCAATTCTTTAATCTTTTTTTTTGAATATTTAAAAACAATTGACCTTTGTTTCCACAATGAAGACCTGTACTTCTGAGTAAATTAGGACAAAGAAAGGTTACAGGATCCTAGCTCTAGAGGTAGAAGGAAGTTTAATGGTCACCTAATCCAACTTTGTCATTTTACAGGAAAAGAAACTGAGGCCAGAGAGGCTTACTCAAGATCACATATATTGTGGCACACTTGGGATTTGAACACAGAACTTCTGGGTCCAAATCCAGAACTCTTTCCACTGCATTATGTGACCTCTAAACAAAATTCTTTGAAAAAACATATTTAAAAGCAAGCGAAATATCATAACATGAAGATAGTCTGGAAGGACTCCCAAAGAAAAGGACAATGGCCACTTTTTACTTTACCTTTTGTTAGTAAAAAGAAACTAATTGTTGATTCTTTATTAATGCAAGGCTTATAAAGAGAAAACTTTGTGTTCTAATAATGAGGAAACAGGAAGTTCTAAGAATCAAGGCTCAACTTGACAAAGTAAAGATTGTACTGTTATGAAGTCAGAGCCATAATCAGGGTGGGGCAACTTGTGCTTTGCTATGGAACTGGAATTTAGTGGGAGCTGATAGCACTTGTACTCCTGAAATATAAACAACTGAGATAAGTACCTAGATCACAAGAGTCGCTGGTTAAAATAGGAAGGTACCAGATGGGCAACTTACAGATACACCCTAGCTGCGTTCATCCTGACCCTTCTATTATTGTCCAGTCATTTTTCAGTCATGACCCCATCTGGGGTTTTCTTGGCAAGCTGGAGTGGTTTGCCATTTCCTTCTCCAGCTCATTTTACAGGTGAGGAAACTGAGGCAAACAGGGTGACTAGCCCAGGGCCACACAGCTAGTGTCTTAGATCAGATTTAAACTCATGAAGATGAGCTTTCCTGACACCAGATCTAGCACTCTATCCATTGCACCACTTAGCTTCACCCTTACACTTTTCTCTCTGTCTAAAGTGTCCACACAATGCCCTGGAATCTCTGTCTTCCCCACAATGACAATATTCCACTTACTTCCCCCCAGCTCCATATGAATTTGCCCAAAATGTTAAAATGACTAGTTAGAACTTTTTAAAGTTATATCAGCTTATCACTAAAAAGTGTATGTTAGGAAAATTTAATAATTCTGACTTTTCCAATTTTCTGAGGAACTTTGGATCTAATCTGAGGAGTTTCCAAAGTAATTTTCATTTACATGGAAAAAAAGAATTGGGAAATTTAATTAAGTATTTAATAAATAAATGGAAATTAATACAATTTAAGTAGCACATATAAAGACACTATGGAGGAAAGGAATGAGCACAGTGGATCTACCATGAAAAAAGTAAAACTTGAGCTGTATTAGGCAAGGGTAAAGAAATAGATTGTAAAAGATTAGTGGGGGAAAACATTTTTAGTTGGAGGAGTGTCATATGTAACAGTACAGGGATAAAATGAATAACAAGCAGGAATCAGCAATCACTAGAAAAAACTTTGGCCAGGGGTGGAAGAAGGCCATATTGGGTGTGATGAGAAATGACCAAGGGTGGATGTTAGTGGCTTTTAAGTTTGACTTTAAAGGAATATTTGCCTGATTTAATAGAGCTTTTAGTGGAATAATTGATGACACCATGCAGCTGGCCGTGGAAAAATGTTTTGGGGATTCTCTCATCATTTGCTCATGGAATAAGAGCAGTTCCACAAAACTGTACTGGTCTCATAATGGATTTGATTTCCATGATGTTCCATTATAATGCTTTTGAGTAGTATATATGTGTGTCTATATGTGGGGGTGGGGTAGGGCAAGATGGAATATGGGAGGGGGGGAAGGAAGGGATGGATCCAAAATTGCGGAGTTATCCAGGTTACTGAAGCTGTGGGAAATGTGATACTCATCAAAAGGATCATGTGCTTTGGTACAATGATTATAAAACTTTTTTGGGTTTTGCAGATGTCTTCTGGGGATCAAGAAACCATTGGACCACCCACTCGCCCACAGCAAAAATAATTGGCCAACATTAGTGGGAAGAATGGCACTGCTCATGGTGAAATACCAACTATGTTAGGTCTAATTTTCAATAAATATCATGAATAAATTATTAGCTCATGCCAGAAGCAACAATATAGTTACTGTTGTATTATGAACACAAATATGAGAGCCTAGTCCATGGACCATCTGCAGGACCTTCGTGGGACAACCAGGGACTGGCAGCTCCTACTGTTTATTAATAACATCCTGGTGAACCATGAGTATGTAATGGAATCAGACGGTTCCTTTATTAACAGTGAATTTTGTGTCAGAGGACTAAGGTTTGAATGCTGTTTCTTCTACTTTCTTTTTTTTGTGGCCCTAGGAACCTTTCCCTTACGCCTAACCCATAGAAAGTAAGCTATTTTAGGGTAGGCAACTATTTCAATTTTGGGCTTTGTACCCCCTCAGTAGAGAGGTGGGTGGCTCAATGGATAGAGTGCCAGCAGGGCCTGGAGTCAGGAAGACTCATCTTCCTGAGCTCGAATCAGGCCTCGAATATACTATGTAACCCTGGGAGAAACCCTGTTTTCTTCAGTTTCCTCATCTGGAAAATGAGGTAGAAAAGAAAATAGCAAACCACTGCCGCATCTTTGCCAAGAAAACCTCAAATAGGGGGATGGAGAGTTGGACATAACGGAAATGACTGAACAACAACACCTCAGTGCCTAGCAATGTGCTTACCACATAATAAGCACTTAACAAATGTATGTTGAATGAATGGATGTGTCCTTTCTGGGTCTTGGTTTTTCTCATCTGTAAAATGAAGGTGTTGGATCAGGTAACCTCCAAGTCCCTTTTGGTTCCAAATCCCACGGTTAGAATTGTATATATGTTTTGTTCACATACTGCCTTAACATTCAACGACCAGTATTATTATGTATACTTCATTCATTTATATATATATATATATATATATATATATATATATATATATATATATATATATATGTATAATATATATATATATAGTTAATATATTGATATAATGAAGAAGATTAATGTTTTTGTTGACATGTCTGATCTCAGAAGTTTGTAAAGGCAGGTGATGCAATTATTAAATTGTAAGCTAGTTAGAATCGCTTAAAATAGAAGTTCTGATACATCATTTGGACATGGTTGCCCTTCTCCTACCAGTGAATCTGGACCTCATTGACTATAGGAAATGTAGAGTGTGTATGTTACTTATTGCTCCTCCCAATTATAACTTTGTCATTAGCGATAGATGCTTCTTTTGACTCTTTGCTTCGTAGTCAATATACATTGCTGGGATATTTGATGGTAATATGTTATTCCAAACAGGGCTAGTACTGGGTTTATTGGTATTCCGGGAAAATTTGCTATTTGTGCCTTACATTTCTACCTTTAACTTATACCATTTCAGGCAACTTCTAATACATGGTGCCGGGGGCTATTGCCTTGTTTGCTAGGACCTTAAACTTCCCCCCCCTGAAAAGCTCAAACTTGTTCTTCACTTTGTATGGATTGGTGATCTTTGCTCTATTCTAAGGCCTCAGACTTTATTTGTGACAAGACTTAGCCATTCCACAAATAAATAGCAAGGGAAATCACATTGGAGAGAATTTCCTGTAACAAAGATGCTGCTTCCTGACTCCAAATCAGAAAATGGGCACTTAATGTTGTTTTCTTAATGGAAAAAATGATAACTGATATTTAAATAGTGCTTAAAATTTTTAAGCCAGATTTATGTGTGTGCATTCTAATTTGAAATACATATACTCAAATTCTCTGAGATTAGTCCTTTTGGTATCCTTATTTTAATTTTACGGGTGAGTGGACTGAAGTGTAGAAAAGTTAAATGACATTTGTAGTTGTAATTAACAAATAAAAGAAGGTTTCTAACCCAGGTCTTCCTGACTCCAAGTCCCAAGCTATCTGCTACACTACATTTTCTCTCATGGAAACTTTTACTTCAATAACAACTAATACTTGTATAGTTTTATAAAGTTTGTAAAATGCATTATATAGATTATTTCATTTCAGCCTCACAAGAGCCATATAAGGTAAGAGTTGTTATTGTTTGTCTTTTGTTTTTTGAAGAGCACCAGTGACATCATGGGGTGATGACTTGCACATGAATTGGATTTTAGTGAGGCAGATTTACACAAGGCCATCAGCCGCACTCTCTCTTACAGAGTCATCAAAGTGCAGTGGCAAGACAAAGACCAGGACAAGTGGTGATGGCCCAGGGTACATGGATGACCTTGGTGTTTTCAATGTCTGATCAAACCGTAAGCTCTCCATGGTGCCTGCTTCAGCTGCCTTCATGGCCACTGGAATAAAATTGTTCTCATCTGCCCCTTATAAGGTAAGCACTGCAAGTATTATTATATCCCCTTTCCAGAAGAAGAAACTAAGGCTGAGAGATGCTTAATGACTTGACCTATGGCCACACATCTAGTATCAGAGGCAGGGTCTGAACCTAAGTCTTCCTGACTCAAAAGTCCAGCACTGTTTTCATTTTGTAGCACTACTTCTCAATACTTCAGTGATCTATGATTGAATCCATGTGGGTTCTCCTTCCACCAAGTGCATAGCAACACTTTTATGCTTAGGGGATAGTCGTCATGAGTAGCTAGGGCTGTAAAAAAATAAATAAATCTTTAAGTGAAGAGGACAATAGCATCTTGAGCATCATCTTCATTATCAGTCATACACATGACTGTTATTCCATTTTGCTGTTGTTGTTCAGTCATTTCTGTCATGCCTGACCCTCCATGACCCTATTTGGGGTTTTTTCTTGGCAAAAATACTAAATACTAAAGGGTTAAGTGATTTCCTTCTCCAGCTCATTTTACAAATGAGGAAACTGAGGCAAATCGGGGTAAGTGACTTGCCCAGGGTCACACAGTTAATAAGCATCTGAGGCTGGATTTGAACTCATAAAGAAGAGTCTTGTTGACCCCAAACCCAGTACTCTACCCACTTCACCACCTAGCTAAGTCCCTAGGGATGAGTTAATTCTAAAGAAGGATTGGAAGCAATGAGAGGAAGCTTATAAACAGAAAGGTGTATACATACATACATAAATAGAAGCTTCGATCCCACCTATGATGGCACTGTGGCTGAAACATTGCACTTGGAGTCATGAAGAACATATCCTACTTCAGACACTTCACAACTGTGTGACCTTGGGCAAATGACTTAACATCTTTCCACCTCAGTTTCCTTATCTGTAAAAGGAGACTTATAATAGTACCTACCTTATAAGGTTGTCTTGAGGATCAAATGAGATAATATATCAAAAGCACTTTTACAAACCTTAAACCCTTCTAAGCACTGGGGATACAAAGAAAGATAACAGACAGTTCCTTCTGTCAAGGAGTTTACAATCCAAAAGTGGAAACAATATATAAACAAGTTTGTACAAATAAGCCACTGTTATCCTGACAGGAGGTAACCAGCAGAGGGAAAGCACTAGACTTGTGCTATGCTATATTGTTGTTGTTTGTCCTTCGTTCTTGAAAGGGACCAATGAGGGACTGGGAAAAGCTTCTGGCAGAAGGTGGGATTTTAACTGGGATTTGAAGGTAGCCAGGAGGGAGCAATGAGGAGGGAGAGAGATTCTAGGCATGGGGGGGACAGCCAGCAAAAATACCCAGAATTGGATAATGGAATGTCTTGAGCAAGGAGATCTTTTCTAGTTTTCAACTTGTTGGCTTGCCCCAACTCTTCCCAGGTGCAGGTTGGTGGACTGCAGCCCGGTGCCAGCTTCTTAGAACTGTAGATGTCTATGGCCTGAATCACCGCCAAAGGCAGCTACGCATCAGCTGCTTTGTCTGTCTCGTTTCCTATTTTGGCACAGGCTGGAGAGGAGCCAGAGGGCAAGGTTTTCCCTATAATTGCTCTCTCTGCTGCAACAGGGAAACGTGTGTGTGCTGTACCGTGCCTGGGGGAGATCATAACATCCTGGTATTGCATGCAGCCGTACCTTCCAGCAAAGGTTTATGGGTTTGCTCTCCATTTTGTAGCCAAGCTGGGTAGATAGTTACAATGGTCTAAGCAATGCTCACCAGAAAAAAAGAAAACGAGTTTACCCCAATACTTGTAATGACTTCTTTCCCTGGAAAGGACAGCTGAATATTATCATTAACCTAAAACATTTATTTAAGGGAGCTACAGGTGTGTACTACCGGGCTAGGTATCATGTTCACTTTAAAAGTGCCTGAACTCTAAAACAAGAACCGTGACCCACTGTCCTGAAGCCTTCCCCCAAAGATCAGGCTCTCATTTTGTGAGAATGTATTAGGCCCAGTCTTGGACGGAGTCAAGGAAAGATTGAGATGATATCTAAGGGTCTCTGCAAGCCCTGACATCTGTGGTAGGAGAAATGTTGATCTCTTACAACACAGCTGCTTCTGAATACTCAGGTGGTGGTTAGACGCAAAGCTTTCTCTCAGCCAGTGGTTTTGCCAGAGATGCTCACATGTTTGGAACTTCTGGGTTAGAATTGTGCAAATATGGTTGTCCTGGGAAAAGAAGAAAGGCCATCCAGTAGCTTAAAGGGGAACCAAATAAGGAATACTGCACTCCAGCCTATATTTATAACCACTGCATATCTGAATAGGGAAATAGTGTGAAATCTTAGGTTAAATGATTATAAGATCAAAAAAGTACAGTTGGAAAGGAAAATAGAGACCACTGAGCCCAACCTTGTCATTTTATGGACGAGGAAACTGAGGCTCAGAGAGGTTAAGGCATTTGCTCAGGGTCACACAGCTATTATGTATCTGAGCTGGATTTGAACCCATATCTTCCTGAATCTTAAGGTCATCATTTTACCTACTACACCCTATTGTATGTAAAGTGCTTCATTTCTTTATACCAGCGGGTTCTTACTTAAGCTGAAGTCTGTGAACATGCTAAAAATATTTTGATAACTATTTCAATGTAGTTTATTTCCTTTGCAATCATATATATATATATATATATATATATATATATATATATATAAAATTTTATGCATTTGAAAATATTATTTTGAGAAAGGGTCCATAGACTTCACCAGACTGCTAACAAAAATCCATGATACAAAATTAAAAAGGTTTAAGAACCTCTACCTTATGCTAAAGAATTGAGTGCCACACACAGAGCCATCAATAGCAATTTTTGCCCTTTAGATAAGCAGCTGGGCTGGGGATGGTCTTGGGATACCACAAATTGTCAAGGCTGGTAAAGGGGAAGGAAGCACATCTGTGGATGAGGCTACATCCACCGCTACCACCACGAAGAGACAAGAGCTAGGGAAGGAAGCAAACACTCAGAGATAACTCTGGCAGTGCCCACTAAGTTTTCTGCCATGTGGCAAGATGGTCTTGCCTTAGTTATGGTTTTGACCACATACAACTGGTCTAAGTAACTTCTTTATCAATGTTATTGTTATTATTACTTTTGTGATATTAGGAACAAAGACCTCTCCTTGCTGACTGAGGTAGAGAAACAAGAGTTTTCCAAGAACATAACAAAGGGTTAAGTAAAGGAAATATTTTTTTTTGCCTTTCTATGCAGAATTGGTCAGCAGCTCATAGGTAGAATTTTATTAAAATTTTATTGAAAGATGGCAATAAGGGATTCATTGTTGTCCATTGATTGAGTTATGACAGCCACTTAGTGGGAGGGTAGGAAAATAAGCCCCTTTGTTGTGACCTATCCAGATGATCTTTTCTCTGGTGGAAAAAAAGCAGTGTAGAATCTGAAAGTGGTGACAGCATTGTGATAGATGAGTTAAGTTTGAAAGCAAAGAGTAACTTGTATGGTTGAAAAAATATGTTAAAAACTAGAAGGAATTTTTACACGGTACTCCAAATATTAGCATCTAAGTTTCAGGAACTGGCAAATTAGCAAATTCATGAATTAGTTCCAAGTTTCTTATTTACTGTCAAAGTTAATTATGCATTTTCTTTAGTTAAAATGCTTTGCTTTAAATAAAATCCCCTGCAGTGGTGGTAATGGTCCTTGTAGCCACCTTAGAAAATACATAAATAAGTGTCCATGCATTTGAATTCTGTTAGTATTTTACATGCATTCAATGGCAGGGATCTAGGTTCAGTTAACATTTTTCAGTTCTATCAGCTGTAATAAAAGCCTTTGTAAACTAACAGTTAACTGTTCAGTCTTGACAGTGAAATGTACATTAAAAACATGACTTATAAATTTGCTAATTGTGCTTCCTTGCTATAAACATTAACCATCATCTAGTCTTTCCTTCTTTAATCTTACCTATGCTTCCATTAAACTGTCTTAAGCCTCGCTTCCATACAGGCACAGGGAGAATGGACCCTGCTACTGTTCACGCCCAAGCTGCTTTTCCTGGAATTACAAACAAGCTGTAGTTCCCCTTTCTTATCTTGTTAAAGACCTTATATGTCGATCCTTCCCTTAATCTAGATTCTCATATCTGAGTTCCTGTCTAGTCAGAGAAGCCAGCCTTGTTTGCTCCTGCTCCTGCATTTTCCGCCTTAAGAATTCAACAAGTATCTTGGCTGCTAGAGCTGTTTTCCTCCTAAATACCATCAGCTGTTTTCTCTCAGCTACCTTCTAAAGAGCCTTCTCTTTGTAGCCTGGTTTCCAGTTCCCTTATGTGCGGAGCCTGTGTTCCCCAAGGAAATCAGTTCTCCACTGAAGAATTGCTTTCCTATAGTGGAACCCCGACTGTCCTCCAGGCTGGTTCTGGACAAGCTGGGTCAGGGCTGTCTATCTCAAAAAATGATGTGTTATCACTTAGAGCCAAAATTGCAGGGGGAGAGGAAGGAGGGGAGAGGGAGTTTGTGTACACACATTTGTACAGAATCTCTCTTCATGCTTTGACAAGGATGTTCAGCAGGAAGGAGGGCAGACCCTGAACTAAGTGTTCTGGACCAGACAATTCATGCTATAGAAATTGTGAGTCCATCTCTTTTGCTTCAGGAGGGGGGAAGCACGCTTCATTATCCATTCTCTGGGATCATGACTGGCCATTGCATTGTGCTTGAGACTTTTTCATGGAAACCATATTCAGGCTAGTATATCTAAGTTCCATTTCCATTCTTTGTGTTTAGTGGCCGGTGCATCAAGATTGAAGAAGCCAATTATTTGGAATTCATTTATTCACTCATTTATTAAACAGGTATTGATCACCTGTTGGGTACAAACAACTGTGCTATGTCCTTGGGAATATGCAGAACTACTGAATACATACCCACACTCATGCAGTATGTAGTCTAGTCAACTGTCCTTGGTAATCAATTGCAAAACATGATACACTGACACAAAGTAAATCTTTGAGATTCAAGAAAGAGAAAAGAGGGTCCCAGGACCTGACTGCATGGA